ATTTGGGTTTTAGTTTTATTTCTTATTTACTTCTCTCTCTCTCTCTCTCTCTCTCTCTCTTATTTATTTAAAAGGGACAAACATCTCTCTTTCGAAAATGATGTTCAATTGAGTAAAGAAAGAGTTTTCTTTGATCTTATGAAGAGATCTTTGGGGTCCACCCTTGCAGCCAGAGAGGGGGTATAATCTCTCATCTATTCATTTTTATAGTTATTTTCCCGAATTATTAATTTTCTCCCTACATCAGCAAGTAGATACCATCACCACAAGTTTTGAGTATTAAAATTTATATGCAAGTATTTTTAAAGCCTTATAATGCAAGAACATATGAGTATCAAATCAAATCCTCTGGAGAGCTTAATCAGCACCAACCAATCACAATATCTATTGTGTTTGTTTCTTTTGACACCCAAAAACAAAATATACTGTAAGGCAGCATAAATAAAACATGCAAATGGATGGTTGAACAGAACTGTTTTTTTCTCTTTTTGGTTTAACAATGTTGAACAGAATTACTACAATCAGAAGAGTGTGCAGTTCGTCTTAAAGTCTTCTTTTTTTTATATAGATCTTGGGCTCGGAGTCGCTCCGGGAGGTAAACTTAACATCATGCCCTTATCCGATATCAATAGCTGCATCAAGCCCCATTTCCAAAAAAAAAAAAAAGAGCTGAACCAAGCACCAAGCCAAGAATAGAAGTATATGAGGGGTATCTGCTGAGATGATGATTTACCTACCGACTGATGCCATAGCAATCCATATCATGAAAATTTTCCGTTATAGTGAATGTAATCACTTCTTATCAAACACAAAAGAACAACAACAATATATGGACAAGGAACGGAAGATGTCGGAAATTATGAATCCATTCAGGAGACTAATGGCTAGCAATTCACCCAAAAAGTTTCAAGATGATTGTGTATGCTAAGATTCTAAGCCTACTTCATCTCATGGGTGGTGCTTGACATGTTGTGCAGAGCGACATCAGTTTCAAGTGATTCCCCATGGAAGTATGCTGGAATGTCCTAGAAATCCTTTGAAGAGGATAGTAGAAGATGAACAACCACAATTTCAGGGGCTAATGGAAAGTGAAAGTTCTCGAGAAGAAAACTCTCATTCATAGATTTGATCCTCGGCAAAATCCTCGCACCATTAAACAACTCTTAACAATGCTTTGAATTTGCCGCTTCTAATCATGTTCTTTCCACTATTACCACTTTAAGTTCTCATTGCAGTTCTTTGGGTCACTCAAGTCTTAAGTGCCCTTTCATTGATGTTGATCACTGACGATAATTCCAAAGAAAAATGAGTTTGTTTGAGACAAATTGATAAAGCAAGTATATGCCTTTCATGTCCATCGGAGGTCAATAATTCCAACTGAGTTGATGCCCAAGAATGACAAGTGGGAGAACAAACTAAAATATGCCTTCGGAAAGCATACGGTAATCAAAAAATACTCTCTTGACACTGTTGAAATTATTATTTGTTATGTTCATAAAAGGTTGAGCAATGAAATCATTTCCATTTTTTGTTAATTACTTAATCCAATTTCATCTAATCTTGCTAGCATGAAAGCAACAGGTTTCATTAATTGCATTTCTTTCAGGCAGGCAACTAAGGAAATCAAATTACACATGTTTTAGGCAGGTACAAAGAGAGTATCATGCATATTCAGAAAAGCAGATCTCCAATCCCTTTGAGTACACGTCGTTTGCCCTTTTAAAGCACCTACTACGACTGAAAAGGAGTTCAAGGTGATATGCAAATCTACTACATAAAAGATGATGAAGTTCGGCCATCACTTCAATCTCATGAAAACTACTCTAAAATCATTGTGACTACTGATCAGTAGTCGTACAAAATTCCCAAAGAGATACTTCATACACTAAATAACTCCTTTTCTTTTCAAAATTGTGCTTATTACAAGCAAGGACAGATCTGGCTCCTACTTAGAGATTTTGGTAAAACATCGTGGTTTTAAAATCTGAGGCTACAATTGATCCAGAGTCTCAATAAGAGAATTCGTACCTATTAATTATATGCATAAATAAATAAAAACAAGTAGTGACATTAACAATAACAACCTCCGAAATTTTTTGGTCTTCTAGCTCAAACATAACGCTTCAATTTAAAGTGTGCGGTAAAATAAAAACAGGAGCCAACCCCTTTGCAACAATCGAGGATTTCAGTACCACAGCGGAGAACTGGATATGGCATAAAAAAGACAGTACTTAAAACAGAAGACATCGTAGAATAGTCATCAAAACAAAATGCCAAAAAAGGATGGAAAAAAAAAAGTTTAGAAATGGTACTTATCACACACAAGTCAATACAGAGGACCAAACAAACACAATCGAAAGAAAACCAACAGACCAAACAATCCTTCCCATTACTCACTCAATGGGATATTAAAAAAAATGAAATGAAAGATCAAATTTCCACCACATGAAAACAAGTTTGAATTAGCAGCTCTAATCACAAATTCAGAAATGAGATAATCCACAGACAATAAACTTCAACGACGAAAATACCCAAAACACTACAAGCATGAATTGCGCATTATACTGGTCAGAAATCATTTCTAAGGCAAAGGGAAACTAAATCCAAAAGAAAAAAGACGACAAATTAGGGTTGATGACTGTAAATACCTGTGAGTTTCTGCATGTAAAGATGAACAGAAGAGAAGGTGGATGAATTCTCTTCTGAGCACCCCCTTAAACCCTAAAATTCTTTTCAGAAGCTTCTCATAATGAACGAAATGCAGGGAAATTTTGGTCGAGTACGTACACCCTTTTTTTAATATATTTTATTATATATATGGACTAAAATAACCCCATGTACTATTAGTCTCTATGTTCTTACTCTATACTTTCTTATATAATCCCTAATAAATAGACAATGTCATATATGTCCTAATAATGATCCCTGAATTTTATTTAGCTAAGAAATACAAAGTTTAAATTAAAAACAAAAAAAAAGAAAGGAAAATACACCCCAAAAAAAACTGCTCTATTTTTTATATTTTAAAAAATAGTTCCACATATTTTATATTTTAAGTTCAATCCAAATGGTATATCAAATTAACCTCCAGTTCTATATGTATATTCTTATCACCCCCACATACCCCTATAATAATAGGAAAAATGTATAATAAGATTATTTACCTTTGGCATAAGGTGGTCGTAATTAATCTTCACCATTGGATGTGAAATTTGATGATTGCATTTACTCCATTGACCATGCTCAAACTTAAAAATAAATTTTTTTTGACTTTATGATATACCGAAGCTATCAAATTTCACATAGGATCGTTATAAGTAATTGTGTTTTCCTTGTATCAAAGGCAATTAGTCTCATTGTATACAACATGTGAAAGCAGTGTTTTAAAAACCGGCGAGTCGAACCGGACTCGCCCGATTCGACTCGGGAACCGGCACACCCGTGCCGGTTCCGCCCGGTTCTAAAGAAGAAACACTCTGGTTCCAACCCGATTCTGTCCGATTATGCCCGGGTTCCCTCCCTGCACGCCTGCGATGTGCACGCGTGCGACACAGTGAGGTTACCCTAATATTTCTACACAAACATATTAATCTATAGAGCACGCGTGCGATACATGTGAGGTTACCCTATTATTTCTACACAAACATATTAATCTATATTACATAGGAATTTATATACCAAAGTGGAATACCCATCTTTCGATGTGGGATAATTCTCAAACATCATTACATGAAAAGGAAATTTAAATATATTTTATTAATCATCAAGTTATAACCATATATGGTGAAGTGGCGTAGTGGTTAAGACTTTTGCTTTTTTATGTGACCTCTCAAGGTCGAGTCCCCCCATGGTCGATATTTTTTTGTGTTGTATAGTTTTTATATACTGTATAAATATTTTTGTAAATAATATAAAAAGCATAAAAAATTGAAAAATAAAAAAGTTAATTGAAAAATAAAACATAAAAAGTTTATTCTATTTTAAATCTCCATCTTTCTCCTAACAATCTCTTTCACTAAATTTATTATAGAAACCTAAAAAAATAAATTTTTGAAAAATTGAAGTGTTATTTCTAAAATTTGTACGTATTTTATTAATTTTTACATTGATAAACAAATCTTTTATTTTATTTAGTAATTTTTACATTATAAATCATGTAATGTACTATTTTTCTTAGAGTTGTCAATAATACATTTTAAATTAGATAATATTATAAAATATTTTTAATTTGTTATTATTTGTCTAATAAAATAATTATAAAATATAAAATAATAATTATAATTTCAGTATATAATATTATAATTAGTTAGGTTTTAATAATTTTGGATTATAGTTGGTTAGGCTGTAATAATTTGGATTTTTTTAGCGGATTAGGTTTTTTGTCAAAACGATATTTTAATGGCCATTCTTTCATTGATTAGTCTACTCTTTATAATAGTCCATGTGTAATTATATATTTTATCTATGATAATTCTATGATTTTTCTTTTATGTGATGCAAATTTAATGGTTAACATAAGTTTATACAGGGAAAGAGCATCTCAATATTCACAAATTGATGAAAAAAATGAAAGTTAATAATGTAGTACCTTCATTTTTTATTTGATTCCTAAAAAAAAATATTTATAATGAATTTTAATAATTTTTTCGGATTTTTTTTAAGCTTTAATCCGAACGATTTAGCCGATTCTCGATCCGGATCGCCGATTCACCGATCCGGATCGGTTTTTTAGATGCTTGATCCAGGTCACCGATCCGCTTTTTAAACCATTGCATGAAAGTATTAAAAATAATAAATAATCAAAATACCCCTATAATTAGGGTTTTTTATAAATTTTGTTTTTAAAAAATATTTTTTATATGTGTATGATGGTGAGAAGTATGAACTTGCCAATTTTTAGCTTTACCCAATATATAAAAAAAAAGATAAAATTAAAATAAATTGTATACAATCATAGAGTATTAGATTTGAAATATATACAACTATTTTCAAATAAGATTATTTTTTGTTTCAAATTTCCCAATAAAAATTCTGAAAGTTCAAATTTTGTATATTTGTCTTATTTTCTTTCTTGATAAAACTATTTTTTTTTGCTAAAATAATGCAATTTTAGATGAATTATCTTAAATTCCCAAAATAAAATAAATATCCTTTTTTTAAGCACATAAGGGAAAAAGGGGAAACCAATGAGAAATTTACAAATACACCTTAACTATTTAATATTTTATTTTATTAATCTAAAAGTACCATAAAAATACACACGATCACAATAATTGAAAATAGGAAACATATTAATAATTGATAAGTTAGATGTATTTTTCATAAATATATAAAAACCATTTCTAAATTTAAATGTTTTATGTGCAAAATATATGTAATCATAATTTGAAAGCGTTGAAAATAGGTAAATTAATAAATACTTGATAAACTAAATATATATTTCATAAATTTATCACATATAATAAAATATATATGTATTAATGTGTTTTTATCATGGAAGAAGTTTATATGAAGCATAAAATGTAGTTCCCAAGGGCATAAATGATCAGGGCGGTGGATGGTGTCATAATTTATAACATGATATCTTGAAATCCATTTCTACCACGAAATCTCACCTTGTGCTTGGGCATAAGATTTCCTCACTCCTTTTTATGAATATGTTAAAGGTTAGGTGGTTAGGATGGTAGAGTACCACAATATGCCACACATTAGAGACTCCTTCCTCACCAAAGTACCCCAAAGCCTTATAGCATAGAAGTAAGGCACACCTCAAAAACCCACTAGTAAAGTTCCAATGGCGGAAATAAAGTCTCGAATCGATCATCTTGCCCTATAGATGTATAAGTATAAATAAAAAAGATATGTATAAGTATAAATAGAAAAGGTTTTCAAGGGATAAAAGTATTGCAACTTGTAACATTATATATGAGACCTCCATTTTCAAGATCTTCAACTATTTATAAATATGTTAAATACGCACTATTTTTTGAGCCTACAACTTTATAATTAGGGGCGGAAGTAAAATTTCAGGCACCGTAAAAAAAAAAATTAACACCAAAACTACATTGTTCAGCAAAGTTTAGAGATCCACGTTACTTTGATTTTTTAAGGTGGTAGGGATTATGATTTATATTTGTGTATGTATAAAATGTAAAATTAAAAAGGTGAGGTGGTCCTACAATACCATATTTCACACGCATCTTAAAACGCTACACTAAGGGATGCTTTGACCAATAAAGGAATATATACATATAACGTGTCACCTTTATACTATTGCAGTGAGACATGCCTCAAAAACCCCATAAGAAAAGTTGGGATCAAATTTATCATTTTAACCTTGTGTTGAATGGATATATATAAAAACAAGATTTCAAAAGTCAGAAAACATTGTATTTTGTAAAAAAATATCTAGACCATTCATTTTTAAAATTTTAATTGTTTATAAAATATGCTCGATCTGAATATTTTTTAAACTTTAAATTTCATGATAAGAGCTGCCGATAAATTTTCATGCGATCGCAAGGCTTTTCGCCACTAAAACTTTATGCAATTCTTTGAGGTATACCTTATTTCAATAATATAATATCGACACCTTATACAAACCTCACCCAACTAAAATCTCTCTAAAGGCTTCTGGATTATGGTCGCGTGGGACCACCTCATCTGACCCCACAATCGCCATTTTATAATAAAAGTTGGACCGTTCGAGCTTATCCCGACAAGCATAATAGTATGATATTACTATTATTGTGCTCGAATTATTGATAAATGACGTAAATACCCTTGGAACTTGGCGAGTCAGGACTCGACCGCAAGAAAAAGGCCAATTTTTTAAGGGAAAAGTTCATATAAAGCCCAAGCTCTAAGCAATCAAATTAGAGCCTACCTCAAAATTTTCATTAGAAGAGGTTGTTTTGATGCCCAAATATCCTCAAATTGATCATCTTGACATCAAGATGCAAGGACATGAGAAAAAAATGAATTTCAAGTTTTGAAAATAATGTCTTTTGTAACGTATTTTTGGACCGACAATTTTCAAGATTTTCATAGATCTATTGATGTACACTATTTTTAAAGCTTTAAACTTTATAAATAAAAATAAAAATATATTTTAAGACTATTACAATGATTTCTCAACACTATTTGAAGGTAGGCTCTAATTTGATTGTTTAAAGCCTGGGCTCTATACAAACCACACCCATTTTTTAAAGGGAAAAGTTTATATAGAGCCTAGGCTCTAAACAATCAAATTAGAGTCTGCAAAAGAAAAAATTTAAATAGAAGTGATTGTTTTGATGCCCAAATATTCTCAAATTGATCATCTCGGCATCAAGATGCCTGGATATGAGAAAAAAAATGAAATTCAAGTTTTTTAAATAGTGCATTTTGTAATGCATTTTTGGACCGTCAATTTTCAAGATTTTCAAGTTTTTGTAGGTCTGTAGATCTACACTATTTTTTAAGCTTTAAACTTTATAAATAAAGATGAAAATATATTTTAAAGCTATCACAAAGATTTCTAATGTCGAAATCATATTTCTCAACACTTTTTGAAGGTAGGCTCTAATTTGATTGTTTAGAGCCTATGCTCTATACAAACTGTACCCTTTTTTAAATTCAATAATTAGCCAAATTTCCATTGGACCAACTACAATCTTAGTCAAGTAGCATTGCTCGTCCATTTTAGAGATTTGTTTAAACACTACATATTAGGGCTAATTAATCATTTTCCAAATCTACATAATATATTAAAGAAATTTTTTTCATGCGGGGCGGACCGCATTTCT